TCTAAGCTCTACACCAAAGGTTAGAAGACAGTGCTATACAAATGACAAAATGACGAGACGAAATGCATTCTCAGGCACCAAGCCTACCTAGAATCAATGCAGGAGACAACAGCATAGAAGAAATTGGAAATTACACATCTGAAATCTAAAGAAACAGTTGCTGAGAGGTATAGAGGAAATGAGATCAGAAATAATTTCCAAAGTAAAAATCCCCCCAAAAACGATAACTATAATGAAAGAAGTACTGTTTCCAAAGATACTGATAAAAAAAATAGAGGAGAATAGAATAATAATGGAATCTTGAATGAGCAATACAGGAAAGAAATAGAAGCATGAAGCAGATTCAAAGTGATATACAGAAAATTAAAGTCTCAATCACAGGCTGGCAAATCCATTTGAATGAAGTGAAAATAGGGGCTTACCAAATAGCTTGGTGGATTAAAGCACCTGCTTAGGCAGACACAGGGGTGCAGAATTCAATCTCCTGGCCTTTATGAGAGCCCCACCCCCTGAGCAAGCTGAGAAGACAACTGAGATGGAGCATGGTGGTGCATGACTGTAATCCCAGCACTTGGGAAGCTGAAAACAAGAGAATCACTAAGAGTCCACAATCTATGCAGCTAGACCCTGTATACCCTGTACACCCTGTTCTAAATAGAGAAAAAAAAAGTGAAAATAGACAGTCAGACTTTGAAAATACCATTGCAGCAAGTGAAAAGATAAGAAAAGATCCCTTAAAAACAAACAGGATGGGGCTGGGGAGATGGCTCAGTGGAATAAGCACTTCCCTGGCAAGTGCAAGGGCCTGAGTTCAATCCCTGGTTCTACCAAAAAAACCCTAACCACTAGGATGCAGGAAAAAATAATTCAACATCTCCAAGATATGTAAAGATGAACATAAGACCAATAGGCATCAATGGGAAAGGAGTTAATACAAATGATATAAAAAGAATATAGGCAGAAGTAATAGAAGAAAACTTCCCAAATACAGGGAAACAATCTGACATTCAGGTAACCGAAGTGCATAGAACTCCAAAGAACATCAACCCAATTAAAACCATACTCAGACATATAATAATCAAGATACCAGAAATTCAGCACAAGAACAGTATGCTAAAAGCCTGTAGAGAAAAGAAACAGATCACATTTAAAGGAAAACCCATCAATATAATGGCAAATTTCTCTTCACAAACCATCAAGTCAAGAAGAGCATGGAGCAAAGTACTTCAAGTCTTACAAGAAAACAAATTCCAACCCAGACTGATATACCCTGCAAAACTCTCTTTCAAGTTTAATGGAAGACTGAAATACTTCCATGACAAACAACAACTAAAGAATTTTCTGACAACAAAGCCAACCCTACACAGACTACTAAAAGATATTCTGGAGTGAGATAAAAATAACCACAACTCCATGAATGACAACAAAAAGAACCCACCAAATAGGGCAAACAATTAAGCACAGGAGAAAAAGAAGTATACAAAGGCAGTTTTTCAATTATTCTTTTTTATACAGCAGCAAAATATTTCCATTAGCATATTCTACAAATGGACTTCTCCTGCACCCTATGGGTCATGATTCTGTCCAGGTCTACAGGGTGGGTATCAAGGAAATAGCAGTAGCTCAGTCCCACAAATGACACCTGGCTACCAGTAAGTGTCACGCACACTGTCCATGTCCACCACATACTAGAACTTTGTGTGATATCCTATCCCCAAACTGTTAGAAGTGCTGGTCATATATTTGCCATTCTAGTATTTTTGCTATGTTTTACTCTTAGGAATTCTTTACTATCAGCAAAATATTTTCGTAGTTGACATTTTTGTATATATTAACCTATTCAAATACTGTGTGAGTAATCCGAATTGATCACAGATTCGTACATATGATACACTACATTCTGGCCTGTCAGCTGGACTCACAATTTAATTTTAATAATTGAATATTATTTTGAAATATTTAATTTTGAATTAATTAATATTTAATTTTCTGAATATTGTTTACTTTTAATTTTTGTTTTATAACTTATACTGTATCTTTGACTTACAATCTACTTATAGGACATGATATAGGGGCTGGGGAGATGGCTCAGTGGAATAAGCTCTTCCCTGGCAAGCGCAAGGGTCTGAGTTCAATCCCCGGTCCCGAAAAAAAAAAAAAAAAAAGACATGATATATTTTCTCCTAGTATTAGAAACTGTAAAAAGTATATTTGCATTTTCCATTGACTTTATATTACTTCTTCCTTGTCTTTTACAAACACATACACAAGAAAAAATATGTATATAACTGGACATAAGATTGATATTGTCTTGTCGTTATCTTCAGTGACCGTGCTAATGGGCTCGTTTAATATAATTATATTTTACATAGTCCTGCATAACTATAATTTTGAGAGCTCTTTATTCTTCATTCAGGACCATACACCAACTTTTCTTGTCTTTTGGATTATGGTGTCTGTTATTTTCTATATGCTACGTCTGGAGGTATTATAATATTTTGAGTTTGTATAATTGAAAATGGTTTACTTTTAGTTTTGAAAGGTATGTTTGCTAAGTTTAAAATTCAGTGAGGACAGATCTTTTTTATCAGTCCTTCAAATAAGTAATTCTAGTTTCTAAAAAATAAAAACTGAATCTCTTAAGAAAGCAAAACAAAAATTGAAAAAAAATATTTTTCAGAAAAATCCAACTAAAATACATGGAGTTTTAAAAAGGCACCATGGATAGATATTAAAAGTTTATTGATAACATTAAAAAGTTTACTTATAAAGTATGTAAAGTTCTTAAAATGAAGGGAGAAATATTTATGTTTCTCAATTTGACAATGTCCCATAATCTGAACATTTTAAAATTAACAATGTGTACATATCTACACTAATACTTAACAAAATTTTTATTTCTCATTTTATTTTTTTAAAATTTATTTATTTTATTGAGAAACAACAATGAGACAGTTTCAAAACAGGCTAGTAGGACAGTTACAATAATTACTTAACAAAATTTAAGTTTAGCTTAGGAAAAAATTTTAAGTTTAGCTATGAATAACACTTCTTGACATAAAACACATTAAAGAAATCATGTAACTTTATTCCTATTTATTTATGTTTTTGTGGTACTGGAAGTTGAATCCAGCGTCTAGTACCTGCTAGGCAAGTGTTACACGACTGAGCTATCTTTTCAATCTGTTTCACTTTACTCTGAGATAGGCCCTCACTAAATTGCCCAGGTTGGCCTAGAAATTGCAAGTCTCCTGCCCTGGCCTCCAGAGTAGCTAATTTGTATCATCATGCCTGGCTATTTTATTTTTCAGATGGTAATGTCTCTCTGTGTAGCCCAGATTGGTCTCAAACTCATAAGCTTCAGCAGTTCTCCCACCTGAGTCTCCAGAGTAGCTGGGATTATAGGTGTGGACCAACACAGTCAGTTTAAATCTTAAAACTTCCATTGGAGGTTTTTAACCAAGGACTGATGGTAATCAAGGTGGTCTGTGAAATCCTAAAGAATTATAGTATATGCTTTTTTCCCTGAGAGAGATGCAAATGTATCTGTTTTTGATCCAGTCAAGTGAATTAATCAGCAATTTCCAAAAATAATTCCATGTAGTTTAGCATTTGAATACTTCTAAAAACCTACAAACTAGATACTAGAAATTTAGTTAAAACTAAATAGTCAATGTAATAAAATTAAAAAGGCTATAGTACAACATTGACTTTTTGTTTCAGCTTCTCAATGATGATGAACAATGAGTACGTTTAGTCAACTGAGCACCAACAAAAACCAAATCTAAAGAAAAAACTCAAACTACAGTTTCTTGTTCTCACGCTATAAATCTTTCATTGTATTTTACCCATGTTTGTGCTAATCACAATACCTCTGTGAAATGAATATTAGGGTTGTCAATATATTATCAATTAGGAAGCTGGGTCTGTAGAGATGACACCACACCATCTTTATTCCAAGGAATTGGCCAGGGTGTTTGTTGGCAGGATGGAAGAACAGCAAAATAGGAAAGAGCTTTGACACGTTTTAGGTAATAGCCATCCAATACTTAACATCACATCTAACATAAAAATCATTTTAACAATTACCTTGACAAAAGATGAAAGGAGCCAAGTGTGTTTATCAAAGGGAAGTTGAGTAACTGTAGAATCTTACAAAAAACAGAAATTTACAATAGATGTTCTTTTTCTTAGAATTAAGATGTAAAAAAAATGGTTTTTAATATTTAAGTTCAAGAGTTTAAGTTAACTTCTTCAATTCTATTTGTTGTATATTCTGGACATACAGAATATCCACCACCTGCAAATCTGTTATTTTCTAAAATCTGCAGTTTTCTGGTCATGAACACAATACCACAAGTCGAAAATTTACACACTATTTTATGTGGTGGGTCACAGTCAAAGTGCAGGCCCACTAAAGGTATTGAATAACATTACCTGTTTTTTTTTTTTTTTTTTTTTTTTTTTTGGTGGAACTGGGGATTGCACTCAGACCCTTGCACTTGCCAGGGAAGTGCTTATTCTACTGAGCCATCTCCCTGGCCCATAACATTACCTTTAAGCTAGGTATATGATAGTTATATGAAACTTAGATAAATTCTGTGTTCCTCTTAGGGACTCACATTCCAAGGTATAATTACATATATGCAAATACAAAATTCTGAAAAAATCCAAAATGGGAAACATTTCTGCCTCCGAGCATTTGGGATAAGGGATATTCAACATGTGGATGAAAAATTTACGATTACATTTGGTATTTTCTAGAAAAGCCTCACTGGGCTTTCTTATTTTATACATTATTTTCAAAGATTAAGTATAGATTATTTTAAAAACACATATGCCATAAATCTATTTCATTAAGGAATGACCTCCAAGTATAATACTAGAACAGGCATCTTTTAAACCTAGAACCATTCAAAAACATAGCAATAATTTGTTAAATGGGTAATAACAAGACATCATAAAAAGGGCAGAATTAGAAAGAAAAAAGATAATCTTACCAAAGTCTGCAAATGCTGACTGCCCAACCACCAGCATATTTTGAGGTGTTTTTAATATGTTACTGATAGAGAAGTTCCCATCCTGTTAAAATCATAAAATGTTTAATTAGACCATCATAAGCCAGTCAGTTGTCAGTATGAAACAAAGATTTTTAAAACTAATTTTATGAGAAACAAATAGCAATGAGACAGTTTCAAAACAGATTAATAGGGCAGTTTCAATAATTAATACATTGCATATTGTTGTCTTCTTAGTGTTTATTCATAGTACAAGATGCAGACATGATATCCTGTTCACAAACACCATTAGAACAAATCTTTCTTCTCATTGAATTAAAAGAAAGTAGCTGCGCATCTATCCTATTTTGAATATACAGATACAAAATGGTCATTCATTTGTATCCCCTTTTTTTGTTTAGTTTTGTCAGAGGGTATTCCATTGTCATATAAATATTGTAGGTACGTGAATTCAGCAAAATATTCCAATATCGTCCAGTAGTGCATAATAGTAGTGAGTTATCTGTAGGACTGGCAATGTCAGAAGTTGTTGACTTGAGCCTTTTGTAGCTCAGCCTATTAATATTGCTTTACTTTTTATACTTTGAAACAAATAATTTTTAATGAAGCAAGGAAATCAACAGTTGAAGGCTTTTGTACTGCATTAAAATCATTCTAATTTTCCATCCATTATTATTATGAAACAAAAGTAACCACTGTAAGATTAAGAATTATATGATTTTCCTGAGCTTAGTGGTCCAAGTCTACAGTCCCAGTACTGAAGGAAGACTGCCATGAGTTCAAGGCCAGTCTGTACTACATAGTGAGACCCTGTCTCAAGTACCCCATGAAAAAAATCAATCAATCAATCAGTCAGTCAGTCAACAACACACACACACACACACACACACACACACACACACAGGCACACACACACAAAGGAATTTATGATTTTGAAGTGCTCTGCTATCAAATCTAATGGACCACCCCATTATCAAAGTGTCATTATAACTTCAGTCATAATGAGTATCTTCTAAATTCAAGTACAGTGGAATGCTCTGAAAATACAAATAAGTATAAAAACTAGTCCTTATCTTCAAAGAGTTTTAGTCTAGTTGGGAGATTTTCTGAAAGCAACAGAAGTCATACAAGTAAGCAGCAAAGGCTAGAAGACTCCGTTAGGGAGAACTGGGAAAAAATAAGCATATGAGAGGAGAACTGTAATGGCCCTTAAGGACACATGAACTCATGTGCATCATTGAGGAGTGTTTTTACAAATTAAAAGGAGAGTAAGATATCACATCTGTCATTTACAACAAAAAAGGAAAATCTATTATAGAACTCTACAAAATCAAGTTGTTCATAATGAGCTCTTACTACTGACATCTCTATTCACTTTTTAATATATTGACTCTGCTAACCACATACTTTATATAGGGTATCTATATACTTGAATGCTTTTCCTTCTTTGTTCCTCTAATGATACTGCAGGGAGTGGAAATGCTATAACAAAAGCACAAGAACTGATGTTTGAGGACCATAAGTAGTAAGATTTGTCTTAGGATGGGCAATTAAATCATTCATTTCATTTTTTACATATAGAAACATTCTCTTACTGTTATTAAAGTATCTGATACATTTTTAAAAGATTTTTTTCTATAGTTATCTTACTTATATAAGTATATTAAAGGTTTCCTGCCAGTCTTCTTAAAATCTGAAACTGTAGAACTGTTGTGTCAGATTTGCTGAATTTCTGACTTCACTGTCAAGTGCTTTCCCTATTTTTTTTTTTTTTAAATCAGAACGATTTTAGTGGATCCAATGTTTCTTGAAAGAATGGGAAAATCACTCTTAGGACAGATCAACCTCATATGCGATAAAACTGAATATGAACTCAATATACTGCAGCAGTGAGTGGGCTACCCCACTAGAGGCCTGGGAAATACAGTAGTGCATTTTCTATATTATACCTCATGACTCACCTCCATCAAGAAAATTTGGTTGGTAATAGCCTCCCATGTCTAAAGTGTCACATTCACTGTGAGCATCAACAGAAGTGGAAGATTTTCTTTTAATTAAGGTAGAAAGAGAACATACTCTTAAGTGGTTGTTCCAAAGTGCAACCATCTGCCCATGAAGGAAAGGACTATAACCCATGTCATATATACAGAACATGTTATATATGATATAGTCAAGGAAAAGACAATATTTAGACAATTTCCTGTCATTACCATATCTATTCTTTACTCCATTTGGCAGTATAAATCTATACGACTTAATTTCCATTAAGATTTTTCATCATATAATGTCATTTGATGAAAATAACAAACTTCCTTCCATATTGTTAGTGTTCTTATTGGACAATACATTTTGAAGTGGACATGACTACTCTTCAAGCTGAACCCCTTACCTATTTAATACAGGAAGACAAACACGGGATCATTATTCTTTTTCATTGTGACCCTACACTGAGAGGGAAGAGCACCAGTCTAGGACTCAGATGACATGGGTGATAGTGCTGCTTTCACTGGCAGATGGTTGCACTTTGGAACAACCACTTAAGCTGGCACTATAGCTCAGTGGCAAGTACCTTCCTGACAAGCACAAGGTCCTGAGTTTGATTCTCAGTACAATCAACAACAACAAAAAAGAATTATGGAACAACCACTTATTCCTCTGGGTGTTAGTTATTCACTGTCAGAAGTGAATGTTTTAGGATGAACTTATAGGGTTCTGGAGAGCATTGGATGGAATGAAAGGTAAGAAAGTGTTCTGCAAAGTCAGGTACTGGGAAGGAATTTTTACAATGACAAGTCTTATGCTTTCACGAACTCAACTGCTCCATGGTATGCTCACTCTTTACTATGGGGATTCTGTTGGGCTCTACTGCTTTCCTGCAATCCAAAATAGGATGTTGCGGGGTTCTGCTGCAGCTGTGTTCTATTATTTTCTTTTTGATTTTTAATATTATTGTGGAATGACTTCAGGGCAGAAGTTTTTTAAAGACAGATCTGCTAGTTCAACTCCCAACCCCACTGTTTGATAGCTCTAAGGCCTAAAAAGTTATTTTTTACAGATCAGTTGACTTAACTTTAAAATACAGATTTACAAGTTTTTATTCTTTGTGTGTAATCAATGAGATAATCCATTCACGGCGCCTACAACATGGTAATACATTTAGTTAATATTATATACCATAAGTAGTAGGAACCCTATTAATACTACTTGTCAAACTGGGAAGCAGAAGAGCCACAGTGGTTGATAAGGGGACTGTCTGTCATTTTGTGCTTGATTTTCAACCAGAAGTGCTATGCTGCAGCAAGTCCCCTTTCATGGATGAGTCCAATGTTTTAGGATGAATATTTTAATAGTTAATATGAAAACTGTCATATCCTTAACATTAAGAAGTGATCAGGAAGCGATATGTGACAATTATCATGTTTATCTTTATTCACATAAAGCAATGGCTCCAGACTTGGGTGATTTTATCTGCTATGAAACATCTGATGATGGCTGTATACAGTTTTGATTGCCAAAACTGGGGATGGGGTGGGTACTAGTATCTAGCAAGTAGAGGCCAGCAGTACACACTACAATACATGTGACAGCTCTCCACGACAAAACGACAATAATGTCAAAATTGTAACATTCTGACCACTCTGAAAGTCTTTTCCAATGATATACCTCCTTATTCTTCCCTAAGTCCCACTTCTACATTTCCAATTACTTTCTCAACATAGCTCTATTCTAATTTTTTCCCTACCCCAAAGAAGTTATATTTTTTCTTTCTGCTATATGGTCATCTCATCTTCTATCTCCCCTTTCCTGTCCATGGCTCACTTCCTTCCCTGGGTGTTGTGCATTCTTCTTGTGTCACTTGTCCACCTTCGGAAAACTCACGTTCTCCTCTCTTAATACACAGCAGCCAGATTAACTGCAATGGTGAAAGCTACATTCATCCCACTCTTAGTTTTAGAACATTTAATCAGCTCTGAATAGATTTTTAAAAGATCAAATTACCTAAGTCAAGGCCTTTGCTGCTATGGTCTAAACCAATTGTACAATTTTATCTTACAATAGCTCTTTCATGCACTGGCCATAATCAGCCACTTTGAACTGAGTATATCCAGGGTTTCCTGTATACTTCTTTGTTTTCTTCTTTGTTCTTTCTCTTCTTTCTCACTTTAAATCATTAGAATCCTATTCATCTATACTAACCATTTCAAATATCTCATCTTTCTTGAAGCTGTCCTTGATAATTGTAAGTGGTCAGAGAAAGAACTGCTGTATTTCAAATTCTATAGCACAATGTTTGTAGCTCTTCTCAGACCAGCCACAAACATTCAGAACTCAGCCTTCTTTTGGCCTATAAGCTCTATTCACATCTGTATCTCCGAGGGCAAAGCCATGGAGCTGTATACACACTTGATGCTCTGAAAAACTTTTTTTTTTTTTTCTTTTTTTCCCCAAAGCTGAGTATCAAATTCAGTGCCTTGCTCATGCTAGGCAAATGGCCAACCATTGAGGTGTATTAGTCCTTGCACTTGGGAGGATGACAAAGGAGGATTGCTGTGAGTTGGGAGTTTGAGGCCAGCTTGGGCTATGCAGCAGGACCACTCTCCTGCCTCCAAAAGAGACATCTTGCAGTTCTACTAGCTGACATGGTATGGGTTTTTCAGTTTTTGTTTGGTTATTTATTTTTGCTCAATTTCACGTTTCTATAAAGTAACCAATTTCTCATTTAAATTGATCACTCATGAGTATACTTTATCTGAACTGGTTAATTTTGAATCTATATACTCTGTAATTTGTACGGATGACTTAGCATGGATATTGACAAAGATCATCCCCTTAACCAAACTTTCCTTGGGCTCCTGTGAGATCTTTCTTTGACCAAGCCCAAAATGGCTGCTTCTTCATTCTTGTACAGGTCAGTTGTGGGGAGGGCCCTATGGCCTCGCTTGGCCTGTCTTTAGCTAAACTCCTGTTAGATGAGTTTAGCAAAGAATTATCCTGCTACTATAGCAATTTTAATTCACTGACCTCCAACCTGTTCCTGGCTAGAGTCTCACTTTCTTTTGTCATATTTGTAATTGAACCCAATCTTTCCTTCCTATCATAAAACCTCATTAAAGCAGCTGTCTTGAATACAATGTGTCTTAACTATCTTTAACAAGTGTCTGAATAAGTTTTTCTTTCATAGTTTCTCACTGATGCCATGGCTTTATTGCAAGAACAAGTCTTGGTCCCTATTATCTAACTAAGTTTAGAAATTTTCTCTAAAGAAAATGATATTCAAGGGAAAAGCACCCCAATCAATCCTATTCTCTTTATGAAGTTTTTTTTTTTTTCCTACTGAGCTTTTTTACTTTATTATCTTTGAAACAGACTAGGGTGAAAGGACATCTTATACTTTTAAGTATTTCAAAATTTTATGTACACAACCCATTTATCTGTATTGAGACTCTATTCTCCTCAGCCACGAACTAATTGAATAGACCTCTCATTTTTCTAATACTGTATCTCAAGGTTCACTTGAGGTAGGAATCAAAGGTCATCCAGGAATGACAATCTTAACGTATATGAATCATATGGAGTTTAACAACTGTTACTTCTAATAATCAGAAATATAAATATAATAACACTTTTAATAAGTAAAATACTAAACAAAGATAAGTTTTTTGGTTAAGATAAGCTCCCTGCTTTTCCTTCCTCATGAAAAAAACGATCACACTGCTTAGCTTAAGCAGTAAGAAGCTCTGATTTTATCTAATTAAAGCCCTTATAGCTTAAGTTTCCATTCACGAAGAACTCTGAGTTCTAACCAATGCCAATGATGAAGTTCCTTCCACAAGTTTTTGCTTTGTATTTGTTAGAACTGATTATTTTTCCACAGCATTTTCATAAAATCCATAAAGGATTATGGGTTTAATTTGGATGAACTAAAAGATGATCAGGAGCTATTAGACAGGAAATCAAAAGATTTAAAACTAAAATTTGTAAAGTGTGTGTCAAAGTATCTTAAACATACTGTTTGTGAATTTGCACTGTCATTCTGTGAAGTTATATACCCATTTTCCATATGAGGGAATTTAAGCTTTAGGCTTGAAATCACTTAATATGTGATTAACTGTCACTAAGTTGGCTCATATATATTCGCTTCAAATCCTATCTTTTAGTAGAGAGCTTGAAATCCAACTTCAAGATTTCAAGTGGGTTACTGTTCATTAATTAATCTTTAATCAGCTAAAAATGAAACAATGAAATCAGTGTAGGAATCTTCTGTTAACAATTAAAAAGAAAAACTAGTGAGAGACTCCTTAATCTTACTTGACTTGGCACTAAGTTTAGTGTATGTTCTTATTTCTTTATAAGCCTGAAGGCAAAGAAGAAAAATTACTCTTTTAAAAAGGGTTTTCTTCATAAACCATCATGCTGACAAATTAAATGACAGTAACCTCTCTCAACAGCTGACAGCTTAGCAGGGGTCCCCTTAACTTGCACATTAGGGCAGGCTGATTGGTTTAATTGGCAGTCATGCCTAAAAACCTGCAGAGGAACCAATGCTGAATGATTCATTTCCCTCAGCAACAGTCGGCAGTTTGAATGCAGCAATGCAACCAAAGGCTCTTAAAGTTGCTCTATTTATTGTTGAAATCAAGCAACCAGGTGATTACTTTTATTTTCTCAATTGTATATCCTTACTTAGAAAGACATCATTCAAAAATGTTTCAAAGAAATAATTCTTACCAAATTTTCCCATATTTCAAACTGGAAGGTACTAGAGGCAGACAATGTAGTGAGGAATAAATCTAAAAGAAAAAGAAGAGAATGGAAATTTTTGTATTTGTACTTATATTTGTTTTTAAAACAAACAAACAAAAAAACCCCAGAAAACATGCAGCATAAAGGTACTGATTCTACCAAAATATATTTTAAATCATGTTTTAGCAAGTTTAATGTAATCAAAAATGAAACAAAATAAAAAAGTAAATGTCCTTGTGTTAGTATAATTAAGGAAAACTATTTAAAAGGCATATTTAGCATTAGTCCTTCAAAAAATTCTTTATGTTCAAGAATAACTTGTAGCATTCATTTATTATATATTTTTAAATAATCCTATCCTCAGTTGAGAGGTGACATTCTGATTATAACCACATTTAAAAGCTTCAGCATTATTTAAGTCACCACCTATCAGCATAAAACGAATCCTTTAGCAGTCGTATTAAATGAACAAAAATCATGTTTCAAATTTTGATAAATAGAAGAATTGACTTTGTAATTTCATATTAACAAAGTTCATTTTACTGGAAACTATAAGAATTTTATTATTTTTTAGGTTTTGTGATTTCTATGTGCTTGGAAATAAATGTTTAAATGATTACTAAACAAGGGGCTGGGTATTTCATCATATTGTGGGGTCATACAAAACTGCTGGAACTTTCTAAGAATAGTCATGCTGTTGCATCTCTTAATGGAAAGTTTTGGGAAAAGAAGGATCTGTGTTAAAGCATTTGTTTAAAAGGTAATCAATATAACTGATAAAGGATTAATAGCCATAAGATGTCTAACAATCAGTCAGCATAAACTCTGAACTACTTCAAGCGAGTAAAACCCAACATAATAATTTAACGTGAGCCATACTGTTCAAACAGAAGCTGTTGAAAACTTTAGCTCACTTAAGAATAAATTCAGGCATCTTCCCAACCAAGGAGCAAAAGCTCAGTGCCTTGCTGAGGAACCTAGCAGCATGAGATTAGAATTACTGCATTACCATGAACACCTAAAATGAGACAGAAAGAACAGCAGATCTATTACATTCCTAGAAAACCAGTTCAAATTTTTTTCTATTGGAGTTGAACTACTCTCAGTATACACTTTTTGTACGAAGTGTTAATTATGAGCTTTCTATTATTTTATAGAAAATTTGACAATTGTAATACAAAATGTTGATTCTACTTTCACAGTTTCAATAGCTATTTATTAAATTATAAATAGCACTAAATCTAGAAGAAAAACTGGAAGTATTTTGTCAAGTGGATTTTTAAAAAATCTCATTTCATTATTCAGTTATGTGAAGAGGTTACAGAAAAATGAATGATTCATTGCACAGAAATAAAAATAGAGGTGGTTAGTAACAATTCAATATGGATAATCATGCTTCAGACTTTGAATGAAATAACTGCTAGAAAAATTTTAGTCAACATAATAATAATGTCTCACCTTCCTACATGGCTAAAATTAACTTATACTATAAAATTAAAGGAAATGTGCTCAAGACACCTATAATGGATGATGTGATATGCTACCCAGATCATCTGAGCCATGAATGATTTATTTGTGCAGCTGATGAAAATACTGCTAGTAGATATCCTGCCCATTCCTCTTTGGAACAGGTTCTGGGCAGCCTATATCCAGTAATTTGTCAATTCAGAGGCATGAAGGGTATATCCACACAAAATGCAGGACAACTCTGCAGGGCATTCCGGTTTCAGAGCTCCTCAGGGTCAGCGACGGTTGTTAGTGACTACTGAATTGAAGCCAAATCAAAACAAATTGCTTACTCTCCTGCTCTTCTACTGGTACTGAATATAAGAACGCTCCCTAAAATGAAGTTTACCACACATGATTCTTAATCTCAGAGTCCGCTTCTAAAGGAGGGAGCTCAACAGTTGAAAGTAAAACTGACCTAAGAAAGAGCAGTCACAAAGATAAGATTTTGGAGCTGGGTCACCACATGGCTGGCAGTAAAGATTCTCCACTGGGGGAAAGTTGAACATGGACAGTCTAGCTGATAGTGCTTTTACTAATGTAGTCTTTGGTGTGTGTGTCTGTGAGTGGCAGGGAATGGACTAGTGTGTGTTATATTTCAAGCTTTTTGATAAATGGAGAAAGAATATAAGGACAGTGGAATTAGATGGCCATTACTATGCTAACTGAGGAAACAAAGTCACTATGACAGTCATATTTCTAATCAGCTAAAAATGACTGATGAGACATGAAAAGCTAATTATGGAGAACTCCAAATGGCCAAATAAGTGTCTGATGCTCAGCTCTTTCAAGGGAAGGGTCCAAACAACAAATGAATGCTGCTTTCCAAGGTGCATGTTTGAGAGTGAACACTGGTTCTCAGAAAGGGATCCACAGGAACCCTGTAAGATGAGGAGAGCTGGGATGGAAGGAGGGAGAGAAGAATAAAAGAGAATTCCCCATTGTGGGGGAAAGAGTAAACAGGAGAATTCCACCAGATCCCATTACTGAGGATACCAACAAACCAAGCTACAGAAGAGTTTCACAATCATCATAGGCTTAAAGTCCATTTAAGGGGCTGCCTACACAGTTAGGGAGCTGCCTAGAGTCCACATAGCAGCTTTACTTTAGGTGAAGAATTCACTTTGAGAGTCCTCAAACCCCCAGAATCCAGACTGCTGTAGAACAGCACAGTGCTGAGGATGGAACCACTACTGGAATTCAGTGTCTTCAGTGACAGAAGTCCCTGATTACCATGTTTAGAACTCCTTGAACATTTCAGCACACTTGCATAAAAGCCTGCAACCTCAGGAACCCATCTAGCTTCAGCAGTACATTATAATTGTGACCCCAGCACCAAATTCCATGCAATGTCTTTCTCTATAGGAAACAGGTGATTCATCATAGTATGGGGCACCCTAAGACCCAAGAAGCCAAGGTACTTATCCCTGAGAGACCTATGGCTGGTACTTCAGCACATAATCCCATCAGTTAAACTGCCATGTGCTACTCCTTGGCCCTGAAGCCAATATTCCTGGGCTCATATTGCCCTCTGCCACGAATGCTGGCCATGACTAGTATGCTAGCACTGGAATATACCCACGCCCATTATCACCATGTGATATTACTGAGCTGGAACATGAGTTTCCAGTGTCCCTTAAAGCCTGCCACTGTTGCTAACTGCTGTGGTAATTCACCTGAAAAGGCATCTTCCACTGGCTGCAGCAGGGCCTGAGGATATATGTACTGTGGCCCACACCTCAGTGCCATCCACAATCACCAGAGGCCTCACTGTAAGGACACATCCACAAGGGACCACAATAATATTACTGGTACCACTAAAAACTGCTACTAGTGGTGTTACAGAACTTAGGGCCATGACAGAAAATCTGTGGCATGTGTGCCATGGAGGGCTATTTGTATCATGTAAGCACTAAAATGTTTGCCACCACTGCCCTAGAGGCACAAGCTCTATTCTTCATGTCTTTGGCGCTGCAGCCTCTGGAGATGCTACAGAGTGCGTACTCCGCCATACTGCTGCACACATATCTGCCGGGGTTTAAAAAATTATCATTATTATCATTATTATTATTATTATTATTATTATTATTATTATTAGAGACAGAGTCTCACTATGTAATTTAGCTTCCTTCTACTCAGTAGGTAGCCCAGGCTGGCCTTTAACTCAAAGAAATCCTCCTGATTCAGCCTTCTGAAGTACTAGGATTACAAGTGTGCTCTACCACACCCAGCACTGCCTGGGTTTTTAAAAGTCTCTCCACCCACACACAGCTTAAAGAATTGAATAGGATCTGACCCTGGCTATCAGTTATAGCTGAAGAAAGCTATAGATTACACTGTGGTGCTCAACTGTAAACCAAATCAATACAGCCTAATGAAACACTATCTTAGGACAATGATGGCGAACATATGGCCTGAGTGCCACACTGTATCACTGAAAACTCCAGGTTTGCCATCACTGCCTTAGGACAAATTCTTTTGGAGAATGCCTTCTACTGTGAAAGCCAATGTATAGAACTGATAAAGACAACTTATTTGACAGATGGATAAATATCACTGAAGGGAAAGTATTAAAAAAAGGTAACATATTACCTCTAAAGGAACACAATATTTGTCTAACAACTGACCATAAAGATAAGGTTATTGATGATATAGTCTGTAAAGAATTTATAATACAGGTAATGAGACTAGCTCAATGGGCTACAACAAGATATAGAATGTTTCACAAAATTAGGAGAACAATTCGTTATACAAATTAGAAATTCAGCCAAGTGATTGAGATCATGTAAAACAAAACAAATCTTAGACTTGAGTAACCGAATGAGTCAAACAAAAACATAGTTGAGTGTTTCAACAGACTACATTAACTAGTGGAAAGAATTTCTAAATGTCCCCAGAAGCTATCCCAAAGAGGGATAGGCAGGGTGTCTATCAGCAGTATTTCTAGCACCTGTGGAATAATTTACTCACTTTTAAGAGCAATTTACAGATTCAATACAGTCTCTTACAAAATACCAAAGTCTCTTCACAAAACTAGAAAAAATAATCCTGAAGTTCATATGGAACCAAATAGCTAAAGCAAAACAGCAAAAAGAACAAAGCTGAAGATATCATAATACCTGATCTCAAGCCATAACTACAGGCATATCAGAGTATGACTGAATAGTACAGTGGAATAGGTGAATCTATAGCATGTGTGTGGCAAGCAGGCTGTTTCTATAACTGAAAGCTATAAAACTGGATACTAGCATAAAGATCAACATAAAGATCTGACTAGACAAAGCCCTCACTTAACTCCTGACATAGCTAGCATGTAGGTAGAGGAGCATGAAGAACATGCATGAGCCTATGGTCTATGAGTTCCTGATTGCAATGGAGTGGGGGCTAAGAAGAAGACGGAGCATGGTACAGGGACAATAGCAGGGGATGTGGCAGAATAAGTAGTAAGCAGCACAATGATTACATCAGAGACCTTTTACTCTCAAGTGGTAACAATCCCTTTATAGGATAGACACATATTCTGCATAGGGATTTGCCTTTC